GGACTCGGTGACGATTTCCTGGATGCGTGTGCGCTATCATTGGGGTGCAATGGTGGGACAAAGGTGCAGAACCTCGAAGCCTTGAGTTCCATTCCAGGTCACGGCTAACATCAGTGTCGAATGATATCAAACCCGGTCCTAATCTCTCCCCTCTCCCCACCAACCCGCACTGGACCAGCGCGGTGAAGTATGGCCAAACAACTGGAATGACCCACGGGGTGTACGGGGAGAGATGGTTTCATTCAGCAGCGGATTAAGCACGCGCTGGGTGTTATTCTTCTTCTTTGAATTTTTTTTTTACAAATGTGACGCCTCATTACGACCGCGGTTCCGTGTCGACAGCGTGATTACTCAAACGTGCTTCGATTGTCTCTGACATTCCCAGCGTGGTTCCACAACAACAACAACAGCAGCAGAAGCGCTTACAAAGGGGTGCGAAATGTGAGCTGCACGTCGGGCCCTTCCTGGGTTTTTGAAGCCCCAAAAGTTTGCCTAAACCACACAAAAAATATCCCCACACTCGTTTTAGTTTTTTTTTTCACAAACGTCTTGTCGCGAGGATGCACCGCACCAGATGAGTAAGCTATGGAGGGGGAGGGGGTGACGGCAGTGTGCTTGGATTCGATGATTTCCGCACGAAATCATCGAATCTCGCCACTCGCCTACCGATTAAACGTTCATTTATTTAGATGACGACCGCTTGTGTTGCGATCGAAACGTCGTTTTTTTTGTTATTTTCTTTGAATCTATCTACGTGACTTTACCGAAAGACCCAAGGAATATGAATTCCTGCAGTCACGAAAGCTTTGAATCAAGATTTAACGATGCAGTTGAGTCACTGCTGACTGCCTTGCCACGAAAGTCACGCCTCTCGGCCCCTCTCAACACTTTCCACTGATACCGAAAAGCCGCTCCAGCCAATCCTGCGGACCGGTGGGTGTGCTTGGGGGCGGGGCGTGTGAACTACGTCACAGGACAAGTGATCATGACGCCTCGTTCCTGACCGTCCGTCGACCAGCGCCCCAGGTCACGGGATTTTTTTTTCCACTTTCGTGCAATTCCCAACTGCGTCCGCCGAGCGGCGCCACCACGCATTCTCTCGAAGCGTGGTGAAGATTTATTGATTTGTATGAAAAAAGAAGAATAGGTTTTCACCCTTTATGGCAACAAAACAGTTGTTGAGATATATTCTTGGTTCTTTCGGTAAAGTCACGTAGAAGGGAAACAATAAAATAATAAAAATATAAAACAATAAAATTCTCACGACGTTTCGACTGCAACACAAGCAATCATCATCAGGTGTGAAAACACAGCAATAATTTTTTTTAAAGTGGCGAGTTTTTTAACGTTAGCACCACGGAGAGCGATTTGGCAGTTATTCAAATGGACGAGTCCATCTATGTTCGGAAAAGAGGAGGGGGGGAGACGAAAATAATGGACGTGGTCTGAATAACTGCCAAATCGCTCTCCGTGGTGCTAAGGTAAAAAAACCCGCCACTTAAAAATAAATAAATTATTGCTGTGGTTTTCACACCTGATGATGATTGCTTGTGTTGCAGTCGAAACGTCGTGAGAATTGTATTGTTTTATATTTAGATTATTTTATTGTTTCCCTTCTACGTGACTTTACCGAAAGAACCAAGAATATGAATCCCTGCAGTCACGAAAGCTTTAAATAAAAAAAGTTGTTGAGATGTTCAAACGCCAGATAGAAACCTCTTTGGCAAGGAACCGCATCTGTATTAACCACACACAGTACTCGTGGTGAACATGCACACAAAACTTGCTCTGATCATGATTATATATCAAATCATCAGAGCATGTTCACCACAAGTACGTGTGGTTAATGCAGACGCGATTCCTTGCACAATGATTATATTTGCCGTTTGAACATCTTAACACCTGTTTTATTTCCAGAAAGGCTAAAACCTATTCTTATTTTTCATTCTTTGATACTGGCAAAAAGGGTCCCATGTGAAGTTACGGCAGCAAATACAACAGCAAAAAACCACGAGAGTGCAAAATAGGGGGAAATCGCGAGCGAGTCACTTCACGTAAATACGTAATGAATGTATTCCTTATATAAGTCAGATTGATCAAGATTTCGCAAGGAAGTTTAAACCAACAACAAAACCGACACCAGTGACTCGGGCGAGCGCTGCCACTCACCGTCGCGGACACGTGATATTCACGGGAACACCACGTGGGTGCGCACGCGCGCGCGTGCCACTGACACGTCACAAAGGGAGCAGACGCACGTGCTTTCGGGGGGGGGGGGGGGAGGGGGCTGTGCTTCCAGATCGATGTCGCGCAAATAATTTGGCGATTGCTGCTGACTGCTGCGTCGACAGTGGCTCACGCTCACAAATTACTAAAAACAACTCAACACACTTGGCAGTAACACTGCCTTCAATTGCGGAAGAAAAAAAACACAATAGGAGACGTTTCGGGCAATGACCCTTCTTCACAGCCTGAAACGTCGCCTATTGTATATATATTTCCTATTTTAGGCAGTCGTATTGAAGAATGCGATGAGTGTTTGTGTCATCCACCGTCCAGCCGAGATGTGAATGCCTCGTGCGTTGATGTTCTTTTCACTTTGCAGTCGGAGCCTTTGCGGGCAACGTCGCGTCAAAGGACACCGCTGTCTGGACAGAACGCTCTTCGCGAACGGTTTACTTGACGCTGAGGAATAAACCTCTCACCGTGGTGGAACGTTGGTGCACTTTGCACGAGCGGAGGACGGAGACGTTGTTGAAGAGAGTAAAACCAAAAACAAAACCCGCCAGCCAAATGTTTTTTTGTTAAAATCCCAATGGAATGAATGTTCTCAACCGAGCAGCATCGTTGATGTCATATTTAGAACTGCGTGCTGTGTTTAGTTTCCTTGTCTTTCTCCCGCACCTCCGATGAGCGTCGTTGGCTACGTACGGTGCGACAGAAATTCAACATACATACATCCCGCTCAATAAAGAGGTCAGCATCAGCTCTGATAAGTACACATCAGGATGAAGGCGTCGTTCTGAGATCTGTTACGATCCTTGCGATGTAAATCGTCCACCTAGCACCTCTCCACGATCTCATTTAATTGCTCCATCTCTCCAGCAGACGCGTCTTCTCGGGCGTAGTCCACGATTAGCGATGAACGAGACTGGTGACGGAATGGCAGCAAAAGGAGGGAAGGCGTCTGGTTCAGAAAGGGGGACCTCCCCCCTCCCACCGCGGAGATGGAGTGAGGCGATCAGATCACGTGCAGGAGTTCAACGGCGTGGTAGCTGTACTGGAGTTCGCGCTGTGGCGACGGCGTGATGCGTGCCGAAAGTGCTCCCTGATGTGTGTGTATGTACACGTGTGTGTATGTACACGTGTGTGTATGTGTTAGTGCATGTGTGTGTATGTACACGTGTGTGTATGTGTTAGTGCATGTGTGTGTATGTGTTAGTGCATGTGTGTGTATGTACACGTGTGTGTATGTGTTAGTGCATGTGTGTGTATGTACACATGTGTGTATGTGTTAGTGCATGTGTGTGTATGTGTTAGTGCATGTGTGTGTATGTACACGTGTGTGTATGTACACGTGTGTGTATGTACACGTGTGTATGTGTTAGTGCATGTGTGTGTATGTGTTAGTGCATGCGTGTGTATATACACGTGTGTGTATGTGTTAGTGCATGTGTGTGTATGTACACGTGTGTGTGTTAGTGCATGTGTGTATGTGTTAGTGCATGTGTGTGTATGTGTATGTACACGTGTGTGTATGTGTTAGTGCATGTGTGTGTATGTACACGTGTGTGTATGTGTTAGTGCATGTGTGTGTATGTACACGTGTGTGTATGTGTTAGTGCATGTGTGTATGTGTTAGTGCATGTGTGTGTATGTACACGTGTGTGTATGTGTTAGTGCATGTGTGTGTATGTGCGCATATGTGGTAGTGCATGTGTGTGTGTATGTGTTAGTGCATGTGTGTGTATGTGTTAGTGCATGTATATGTGTGTATGTATGTGTTAGTGCATGTGTGTGTATGTGTTAGTGCATGTGTGTGTGTGTATGTGTTAGTGCATGTGTGTGTATGTGTTAGTGCATGTGTGTGTGTATGTGCGCGTGGGGAGCGGTAGTGTAGTGGTTAGCGCGCTGCGCTACGAACCTGGCGACCCGGGTTCGATTCCCGCTCACGGGCAACACCAGTGACGATTATCTGAACCGGTCCTGGGCCTTCCCTAGGTCGACTCAGCCTTAAATGAGTACCTGGTGCGATGTGTAAATATCGCTACTAGGGAGACAAAGGCGGCCGGGAGTGGTGTTGGCCAACCGCCCTTTCATAGGTGCTCGCTAACAGCACTTGCCCCTACGGTCCGTTACAGGCTGTACGGGGGATCTTTTGTATTTTGTGTGTGCGTAAGGTAGTGCGGTAGTGTAGTGGTTAGCGCGCTGTGCAATGAACCCGACGACCCAAGTTCGATTCCTAATCACGGCCAAAATATGAATCGTTCCTCCATCTCCCCTAGGTCGACTCAGCCCACCCTGAGTCCATGGTGACCCTCAGCACTGGGGAGACAAAGGCGACCGGGCGTGGTGCTAGCCACTCACCCCCAAGTGTGCCGTGCCGACATTCATAGGCGCTCGATCACGGAGGATCTTTATTTGAGTGTGCTCGTGCGTTGTGTATTGAGCGTGAGTGCACGTGCGCGTGTGTGATTGGCGTGACACAGCGAGCACGTGTGTGTGTGTGTGCGCACACGTGTCTATGTGTCAAACGGTAGTGTAGCGGTAAGCGCGTTGCGCTACTAACCCGGCGACTCGGGTTCGATTTCCGCTCATGGCCAACACCAGTGACGATTATCTGCACCGGTCATGGGTCTAGCCTAGGTCAACTCAGCCTCAAATGAGTACCTCGTGCGCTGTGTAAACATCGCCACTGGGGAGACAAAGGCGGCCTGGAGTGGTGCTGGCCACCCACCCCCTCGTGTGTCGTGCCGGCCTTCATAGGTGCTACCCGCTAACAGCACTTGCCCCAACAGTCTGTCACGGCTATACAGGGGATCTTTGTATGTGTGCGATGTGCGCGATGTGTTATTGGCGTGACACGGCGAGCACGTGTGTGTGCGGGGGCTAGGGGAGGAATTACCCCAGCCTGCGCCCAAGCACACTGCCTCCATTCATCAATCTGCCTCCCTCCCTCCCTCTCTCTGTGTCTCAGCGCGGTCACTTTGCCATTCACGACGAGTCGCCTCCACTGCCGTCACAGCAGCAGCAGCGGCGCAAGTTGCTTATAGCCCAACGAGAGAGAGAGAAGCACCAAACAGCCACATTGATGGGCGTAGTGCACGCACGAGGTCTGGGGGTACGAGGAGTGGGAGCTGTTTTGGGACTCTTGGTTGGGGGACTACGCTGCATTGTGGGGGATGTCCAGCCTTTCATAATAATCATCAGCCACGCTCAATCGACAACAAAAAAAGCGTCAATACTAACGGCCATACCCGCTACGAAGACGGGCCATTACCCCAAACGTCAACAACTCTATCTGTTAGTTTAACACGTCGGCTTTAGCGAGCAATAGCAATAGTATCCATAGCAAGGGGTTCTTTGGGGGGGGGTTAGTACGCGTACATCTTCAAATACAGATCGCGTAAATATATTGGGACTCTTAAAAAAATATATTTACGCGATCTAACACCCCCCCAAAAAAACTTTAATATGAATCTAGATTTTAAATATGAATATTGTATCTGTTGTTTTTCTTCCTTTTAGAGCGGTGTTATTGACGAATATGTTTACCTTTGATGTATTTACTTCAATAATGACTCAACGCTCCTTCCCCGCTGCGTCTCCAAAACTCGGGCAGTGGCGATTCAATCTCGGGCTTCACCCCCTAACCCCGCTTCCTCCACCCCCCCCCACCACCCCCCCACCTACTGCTCATCCACCAGGGATGCGCCAATCGCCAGGAGCTGCAAGTGGCGGTCCGTCAGCTGCAGCAGTCGCTGAGCGCGCAGGAGTCGCGCTGGGCCGAGGGGATGAAGCAGCTCCGCAAGCGGCTCTCGGGGCTGCAACAGACCGTGAGCAGGGGGGCACGGTCCAGAGCAGGTGAGAGAGAGAGAGGTGGGAGGGAGGGGGTGAATGGGGGTGGGGTGGGGAGATCAGAACAAAGGCAAAGATCGCCCGTATAGCCTTAACAGCATGTTGGGGCAAGTGCTGTTAGCGGGCAACACCTATGAGGGTTGGCACCGTGGCACACGAGAGGTGTGGGTGGCCAGCACCACGCCCGGCCGCCTTTGTCTCCCGAGTGGCGATGTTTACACACCGCTACACCGGGTACTCGTTTGAGGCCGAGTCGACCTAGGGGGAGGCCCAGGACCGGTTCAGATAATCGTCACCGGTGTTGGCCGTGAGCGTGAATCGAACTCTGTCCGCCGCAGTTTCGCAGCCCACGTCACGAATTTCAACGCGACTTCCCCATCGATGCGATTTAGTTCTTGAAGCAGGTCTCAGCACGTGCGGCGAAACGTCGTACAACGCCGCCGCACACAGCACGCGGTTCAACCGTGACACGTATCGCAGAGTCAGGTACCCTCACGGCCATCACAATCCCCATCACTACCTGTCGCATCATGACCCACATCACTACCTGTACCATCACGACCCCCACCACTAGCCCCATCAATAGAACCACCACTCGGCCCTATGGATTGCCACGAACAATCCCGGGTCTCAGTCGCATCTTGACGACTGTCTCCTTGCTGTTGTTCTTGTCGTTCGGCCCGATGACTGACGTTTCACTGCACGTGCTGGGATCTTCTGCGGGACATCTGAAACGTCAGGCATCTCGCCGAAGAACGCGTACGGGCCCACACGGAAGCACACACACACACACACGCATATCGGAGAGCCGCACAACCCGACTGCCAATTTTTTTGTTTTGCTGCTACGCTTACGCGGAAGCGTGTAGGGACATTTTGGTGAGGACTCTGCCGTGTCTTCGCCGTGGAACGATGGCGATGCACTTTGACCCCCAACACATCTGCTCGTTTCGTCAAAGATGGGAAAGAGAGAGCCCGTATACTTTTGACGAAGAAGAAGAAGCCCTTTATTTATTAAGAGTGCGTATTTGTGATTTCTGGGCTGCCCATAAAATAAAAATAAATAAATAAATATAAGAGTGTGGCTGGCAAGCGGAGTTCATTCCGCAGTCACGATGGTGTGAAGCCAGCAGCAGGCGTTTTGAGAACATCGATATTTGCAGCTGAAACCACACTGGCCGTGAGTGTGTTGTGTTTGCGGTACAAAAAAAAAAAAAGACGTGAACACACACGCCTCCACACGAATCATTTCCAGTTCCGTAACGCGGACAGGTACAAAGAGCGAATGGACTCCTCCTGCCAAAAGTTGATCCAACTTCACAGGTGTGATTTGTAACCACGTGGCGCCCCTCCGATCCGCGTGTTTTCTTGGTGAATACAAAACAAAATTCGCGTGATTTTTGGCAAACTTTTTTTTTGTTTGCTAAAAGTCTACTCCATCGTCAGCAGGGCTGCGGGTAGAATGACCCATTGGCGATATCACGTTGGCTTTTTAGTTCAGCGATTTGAGTCGAGACGCCAGTCGGGGGGCTCCGTGTCTGTAGGAGGGTGGGTCGGAGTTGCTCGGGCCTGGGCGTTCGACGACTCTCCCCTCCGTTGCAAGTTCTTCATCTGTCTCTATTGATTGCTCTGTCTGGCCGTTTCTTGAGCGCCCTGAGGGCCATGAACAGACGCGCCGACAAATCACCTGGCAGTGCGTCCAATGGGTCGTCAGTTCTCTTCCTTCTTTGTTTATGTATCCGGGAGAACCACAGTGAGTTCGTAGGAATCTGTTTCAGGAGGGGTCCTGCATTGAGGTTTTCTTTTTTCTATTTTAACGTCTGTTCAACCGACGAATGAAGAGTGGTGTTTATTACGCACGTCGGAAGGAACCCGAGCACCCGGAGAAAACCCACACACGCGCGAGGGGCCAACGCTCTATACCCAAAGCTACCGCTGCTAAGAAGCTAAGCAAAGATGACACCTAAATATTGCTTGGATGGGCGACCGCCGTGCATACCAGGTGTTACAGGCTACGTTGTGGACAGCAGTGGGAAGTGCAGCAAAATGCATTGTTGTACTCTACTTCTATAGTCCCATGCCACTGGTATGCTGGAGCCAGTGGTGGAATATTCCCATGGCAGGAAGCGGTCTATTTGCTGCTTGTGATTCAACCCTTGTTGTTGTTGATGATGATGATGATACTGCGAATGTTGTTTCTGTAGTCGCTACTCCTCATAATAATGATGATGACAAGAAAGGCAATGATGATGAAGAGGATGATGGCCATCATAACGATGATGTTAATGATGAACATGTCTAAGATGATGACGATGATGGTGCTGACTTTGATAATGAATATGACGCTGACATCATCAGGCTTGACGAGGCTTGCTGTTTTACCCAGGAAAGCCTCATTTGAGTCTCAAGACTTTTACTCAGGAGCGTTATGCCCAGTTTTCTCAGTAGGCGAGGATTTGTCTGCTGTTGGTGCTGTGTAATCCAAATTAAGTAAATTTGCGGGTAGTTTTTGACCATTGTTATGTTTGGACCAATACCAGTCACGTTGTCCGTGCTGTTAATGTATATCTTATTATTTTCAATGTATTATTTTTAATTTTTATTTTATTACATTTTAGTATCTTTTATTTTATTTTCGATCTATGCGACTTTACCGAAAGAACCAAGAATAGATATCGGTGGGAGAAAAAACAGAGAACCCAGAGGAAACCCACGCAGAACAGGGGGGTGGGGGGGGGGGGGATAGAGCCATCCCTAGGGCACGGTGAATCGGAGGACTGCCAAAGGCCACCAGACTTGAGCGTCACGGTGTCAGTTCGTAATCATTCCCGTTCAGTTTGAGCGCGTTGGAGACCCACGCATTGGGGACCCACGCATTGGGGACCCACGCATTGGGGACCCACGCGGCGTGGGATTTGCCCCGAGCCCCCGCAACTCCCTACCCCCCCCCCCCCACCCCTTATGGATGGCCCTGCAGGGAGAGAACATAGAATCTTCACAGAGACAGGCGCCTGAGTCGAACCCAAGAGCGTTTTGCTGTGAGGCGTTACCACTGTGCCACCCTGATAACGATGATGATGATGATGATGACGACGATGATGATGATGATGATGATGACGATGATGATGATGATGATAACGACGACGATGATGATACCCTGCACCTCCGATTAGCACGGTTGGCTACGTGCGGTGCGAAAGAAATTCAACAAATATACGAAATATTCGATGACGACGACGGTGAAGATGATGATGACGACGACGATGATGATGATGATGACGACGACGACGATGATGATGATGATGACGGTGACGATGATGACGACGATGACTGTGGTCACTGTGCGCTCCCGACCCTCCTTCCCCCCCCCCCCCAGTGGCCTCGTGCCCGCGGCTGGAGGCCCCTCCCAATGGACTTCGCCTCGGATCGAAGCACTCGACGGGCCACGAAGCGCACTTTGTGTGTGACACGGGCTTCCTGCTCACGGGCGCCAGCACGCGCCTCTGCCTGGACAACGGCACCTGGAGCGGAGAGGCGCCCTACTGCCACAGTCAGTGCCGTCGCGAACCCACCTCCACCACCACCAGAACCCCAACGCAGACCACGTGGTCACCACCGCTACCTACACCGCCAGAAGCCCACCGCAGACCACGTGGTCACCACCGCTACATCCACCGCCAGAACCCCACCACCGTTCACGTGGTCACCACTAACCGCTTGTACTACCACCAGCAGCACTAACAGCGTCCACGTGGTCAGCGCTGCTGCTACCACCACCACCACCACCACCAATACCACCACCATCTTCGTGATCACTACCACAGCCAGCAGTGCCAACAGCATCCACATGGCTGGGAAACACCGTGGTCGTTCACGAAAGGAATGGAACAAAAACTGCAAAGTGCACAAAAGAAGCATTGAGAGAGATGCATGCTTGTGCTTACACTGAGAGATAGAAAGAGGAACACGTGGATCCGAGATCATACGCAGGTTAAAGGCGTAATTTTGACGTTAGTTAAAAAAAGGGCAGAAATACGTCACGGTTAGAAGGGATGATCGATGGCCGATGGTCAAAAATGATGACAGAGCGGGCAGCTGAGGAACGGGACGCGTTCCAGAGAAGGCGGCCACCCCAAAGAGATGGAGCAAACGCGGTCGGCTCGTGTACAGGTGCCAGGGGTGGTGGATTGTTGATATTCGAAACGTAGAATGGAAGTGCGGCGAACCTTGGTTGCGTTGGGGTGGGGGGGGGAGACCATCATCCAGCAGTGGTTTGATCGCGGCTGAGGATGGTGACGATGCTGATGATTCACGTCTGATCATTTGTGTCTGCACGCGAGCTATGCGCGGCGCGGAGACTCCCAGTGCTGTGATAGCCAAGGTACGCTCCAAGTTCCAAAGCTGCGAAGTCTTAGACGTGGACATCAGACGCATTCCACTCATAGTCATTTTCATCCTGGCTTTACATCGCATGTGCAAGTCATTGATCACATTATTTAAATCACTCCCGGTGGTTTTTTTTTTTTAGTATGTGTGTATACATATAACATTCTTGGCATCTCTTGCAAATGATATTTTATACACACCGGGACGGCGAAGAAAGACTGAAACAATGTGTTATGAGAAAATGCCTCTCTATTCGTGAGCGAGCGGTGAGTTTTACAGTTAGCAGAACAGCCGTAAAAAATTCCTGTAGGAAACAAAAACACCCCATAAAAGACTCCCATAGAGACCCAACGATTGACTTAGAGACCCACGTAAGTTCATAGAGACCCATAGACTCACATAGAGACCCACATGCGTTCATAGAGACCCCAGAGGCTCGCGCAGAGACCCATAAACTCACTTAGAAACCCACAGACTCACGAAGAGGCCCACGGACTCGCATAAAGACTCGACTTGATAGAGACCCATAGACTCGCATAGAGGCCGTAGACTCGCATAGAGACTCATGGACTTGATAGAGACCCATAGACTCTCATAGAGGCCGTAGACTCGCATAGAGACTCATGGACTTGATAGATACCCATAGACTCTCATAGAGGCCGTAGACTCGCATAGAGACTCATGGATTTGATAGAGACCCATAGACTCTCATAGAGGCCGTAGACTCGCATAGAGACTCATGGACTTGATAGAGACCCATAGACTCGCATAGAGGCCCGTAGACATAGACACCTACTCAGAAACTGGAATTCGTTGGCAGTGGCTTCACCATCAGTGCCTTCTTCACGAGCACCATCGCCACCATAAGCGGCGTTATTCTAATAATCATCGTAATAGGAATCGCCATCATAATAATAGTCAGTAGTCATCGTAATAATCAACATTATTATATTGATACAAATTATATTAATGACATCACGCGCTGCCTTCAAAGGAGAGCAATAATGGTTTGGTAATGGTTTAGTCCTGGTTCGGTAAAGGATTAGTAACGGTTTGGTGACGGATCGGGAATAGTTCGGTAATGGTTTGGTTCTGGTTTTAACTTCTGCCGTGAAGCAGATAGACGCGTATTTTTGTTATGGTAGTGACACCAAGGGGAATTCATTTAGCTCTGTTTTTTTATCGCCAAGTGTTCTTCAGAACCCTCGGATCAATTTGGCCAAAATTTATTTTATTGGATACGGCCCTATTAGCAACACCGATCAGCACGGTTTGGCTACGTACGGTGCGAAAGAAGTTCAACAAACATACATACAACGCTACACTCATTACTTTAAAAGAAAAGTTTTGCTGGCTGGCTCGCTGACTGGAGGGATGGACGGTCACAACCACAGGACGGGTGCGTTGCGAGTTACTGTGCTCGAAAACGTAATTTCTCTTGGATTATCGCTACGCTGGTTTGCCATGACCCCCTGCTACGGACGGACGGACGTACGGACGCGTGACCGGCACTATTTTCAGGTCAGGGTTCAGTCGCGGGGGGGGGGCGGGGGGGGGTTCGTGAGATAGAAGCTGCGTCGCTGCTTTGACGGCGCGTGGCGACACCCTTGAGCGCGCGGGCACCTGGAAACTATGTGGCGCGCGCTTTCCACGGCGAGCTGTGAAGGAATGCGGCGGAGGCGCCGGCTGCAGGGAGGGGAGGACATTGTTCGCTTGCGAGCTGCGATCTCAGTCGTAAATCTGAGCCAGGAGGTCGAATAGCCCCCGCTGTGAGATTGTGGAGAGATGAGCGGTCCACCACCACCACCACTACTGCCGCAACCACCACCACCACCACTACAGCCACAACCACCACCACCACCGCAACTACCCTTATCACCACCAGCAAGCACCGCAACAACCCTTATCACCATCACCACAGCCGCAACTACCACCACCGCAACCACCCTTATCACCACCACCACCACCACCACGGCCACAACCACCACCACGGCCACAACCACCACCACGGCCACAACCACCACCACGGCAACCACCCTTATCACCAGCAGCAGCACCGCAACAACCCTTATCACTAACGCCAGCACCGCAACCCACCCTTATCACCATCACCACAGCCGCAAACACCACCGCAACCACCCTTATCACGACCAGAGCCATCAAAGACAAAGAATTTCCCTCCCCCTCCGTTAGAGCGATGGTCGGAATGTCGAGAAGGGGTTCTTTCCACGTTGATTTCGTGTCTCCAATCAACCCTGTGCTCAACTTGTCCACTTTTCGATGCATTTGTCAATACCATTAATGTCCGAGTTTTTCCATTAATGTCCGAGCAGAGTTTGACTAAGCAGGCGAACTCAGGACTGGTTTTGACTTTCTTAGTTTCAACAGCTAGAGCATGGCCGGTTACGTCACAGCTCCTGGATTCCTGAATCCGACTGCGCAGGTTTTCAGCGTCCTTGCATAGCTTCAGTTCCTGACTGAGCTTTCCAGAACGTGCGGTGAAACGTCGGTACAAACCTCCCAAAACACACACACACACACAAAGAAATCAGAGACCTGTTGCCGAACGCTGAGAGCACGAGGTCGCACACAATGCTGTGTGCTGTTGCTGATGCTGTGTATTGGCGTCGTTATTATTCCTTCGTTTAATTATTCAGCGAGGCCTCTTTTTCCCTGCCGCTTTTTCGCGGCAGTGGGCAGTGGTTGCTCTGTGCAATTCCATTTGATTAGCGTGCAGGCACTTTTTTTTTTCAAATTGCGCCAAATGTTGACCTTGGCGCCGGCTCACAACGGGCCTACTCTTGCGAGCTGCGTCTCTCGATCTTGAACGACCACCGCGAAGTGGACGGCGCGTAGTGCTACGGTTAAATGCTACCCGCGGTATTAACCGGGGCGGCCGCTGGAACTCGTAGCGTGAATCACCGCGACAACAAGCGGTGGACGCGTGACCTGCTGGGCCATGTCACCACCGGAGCCCCCTGACCATGACGGTGGTTTTCGAGGGTGATGTTGGAGCGGTTGGCCACGTGTTCACCGTCGTCAGGGCACCAAGGTGGTGAGATGGTAACTACCTTGCCTGGTACGCAGGAGGTCGTGGATTGTGTGGATTTTTCTCCGGGTCCTCCAGAATTTCGCTCCACGTTTAGAATCAAGATCACCACGCGTTTAGATAATGTGGCTGCTGCTCTAAATTTCCACATGCTGAGCCACTTCGTTGAGCTATCGTTTGTGGCCAGGTCGCTTATGAAAAAGAGCTCAGAGGTGGGCCTTACCTTCTAAAATGTAAAAGATTAATTTGAGATAATCAATGCAATTCTGGCAAAATCGCCTGATGAAGCTGGTTGTAATTACCAGCGAAACACCCCGGTACTCAAATTGTTAATGTTGTTGGGTTTACTCTCCAACACACCGGTGTGCTGAAACAGTAACGAATTGCCGCGTTTTGTTTGCGTGACAAACTTTACTGATTGGCTGTGTCGGGTGGCAGCGGGTTTAACGACACATTTTATATTTAGACGATCTAACCCCTCCCCCCCCCCCCCTTCATTATGAATCGATGCACCCACCCCCTGCCTTTCCCTGCACGCAACACGCTGGGCCAGACATCAACGAGTGCGCGAGTAGCCCCTGCCAGAACGGGGCCACGTGCGTGGATGACGTCAACCGCTACGCGTGCCTCTGCCAGCCGGGCTGGGCGGGCGCCGCCTGCCAGCACGCGACCCTGCCACGTAAGGGGCTCACTCGCATCGTCACCGACGCCGTCGCCCCTCGTCGTCGAACAAAAGGCGGCGGTCACCCGCGTCGCGTGGCGCTTTCAGATGCGCTTTCTGCGGCCGTCTGGAACGCTCTTCCTTCCGATGTTAGGAAGCCGCTGGAGCCGTGAACTTTTAAATAATTTTGGATTGAAAACTCATTTCTTCAGAACTGCTTTTTGTGTTTAGGTTGTTGTCCGCCCCCTGCACCTCCGATGAGCACGGTTGGCTAGATACCCGTGCGAAAGAAGTTCGACATACGTACATACACCATCAGCAGAACCTTCAGGGTCAATATGAAACTCGGTACTCACTTTCCGCAAAGACCACGGCAGTCGTCTCATGGATAAACTGGCCCCGTCATAGGAGCGTGGAACTTCCGCCGCGAACCGACACAAGTGTCGAACCAATGCCAGCTTTAGTAGGGAGGACCTGCCAATCACGGGTGGCTAAAACTGGGATTAGAACCCGGACCCTCTCAGCGCCCCTGGCACGGCCATTATGAACCCCACCCCGAGCCATCGACAGATATATTATTTCGTCCAAACGTTTCCATGCTTTTTACCCTCACGTTGTACGTTCGGGGCAAGTGCTGTCAGCGAGCACCTATTAAGGCCGGCATGGCGCATGGAGCCGGTGGTGTGACGAGCACGCACCAATGCCTTTATCTCCCGTGCGATGGGAGTTACACAGCGCACCGCCCTCGCCCGGCCACCTTCTGCGCGCAAAGCGTTCGCGCGATTACTCGACTCCCGCCGTGTGGTTCTTCTTTGAGTCGTTGCTGTGCGGGATGCGTGTGACAGTGGGGGGCCCTCCGTCCCCGCTGGAGGCGCCCCCCCCAGGAAACACGTTCAACCGCACGCCGCGGTGTGCGGCGATCGAAGGCTCCCAGCACTGCAGCTGCGAGCCGGGCTTCCACCTGAGCGGGCGCGCCAACAGCCTGTGCCGAGGTGAGCTCATCGTCACCATCGGCGGCGTCGTCTGCGTCGTCATTAGCAGCAACAGCGTCATCTGCATCATCAGCGTCATCATTAACATCATCAGCGTCATTAGCGTCATCAGCAACATCAATATCATTATTAGCATAATTGGCGTCATCAGCAACATCAGCGTCGTCATTAGCATCATCAGCGTCATCAGCAACATCAGCGTCATCATTAGCATCAGCAGCAACATCAATATTATTAGCAATATCAGCGTCGTCATTAGCATCATCAGCGTCATCAATATCATTATTAGCATCATCAGCGTCATCAGCATAATCATCGGCGTCATCAGCATAATCATCATCAGCTTCTTAATCATCACCGTTATCATCGCGCCTCAACAACCCCAACCACCACCATCATCATCAGCAGCAACAGTAGCATCGGTAGAATGATTTCCACCATCAGAAAAATCACTACAAACAGCACTACCTACTTCACCGTGTCTTATCTTCTGTCTCGTTTGTTGCGTCTCTTGTGTTCCTATCGGCTTAACCGTTTCAATGCGCCGCTGTTCGAAGCAGAAGGAACGGTTGCGCAACTCGGTCGCATGTTGCGCAACTGCTCGCTCAGATTCGGGAATGCAGCAGTTGCATGACAATGATGACGTTCCGTGATTTCGAAAGCGAGTTCATTATTTGCGCAACTCGATCGCTCAGCTCGTGAAGACGCCTTACGCGGACCAATTTTTTTTTTTCATCCACGAATCATTCTCCACAATTCTGCCCATCGCCTGTCGAGGCTGGCTGCAATTGCCGGCGAAACGTCGCACTCGAATTGTAAATGATTGCGGGTTTACTCTCCAACACACCGGCGCGCTGAACTAGTCACTAAGTATACTCTTTGGTTCTTTCGGCAAAGTCACGGAGAAAGAAACATATTTTTTTTCCATTATACATATTTTCTTTCCACCTGACTTTACCGAAAGAACCAAAGAGTCATTCCTGCGGGCACGAAAGCTACAAATCAAGTTAGTAACGAATTGCCACGTTTTGTTTACGTGACAAAATTCGATCCACCCGCTCGTTAAGAACGAGCTGCGACTAAAGATCGATGAATCACTTCCAGCGCGCGTCTCGCTCCTACCCCCTGAAACCCCCCTCCGCCACGCGGCCTGCGGCAGACGTGGACGAGTGCGAGCTGATCAAGTCGAAGCCAGACGCGCGCCTCTGCATGCACGAGTGCATCAACACGGCCGGCTCGTACCGCTGCGCATGCCCCGCGGGTTACCGACTGCAGGCGGACGAGAGAAGCTGCGAGGGTGAGTGGGGTCCAGCCCAGCACCTCTAACACTCCTTGCCGCCACGTCAAACCCATGCCCCCACCTCCCCCAACAAAGACAAAGATCCCCCGTGTGGCCTATTAACAGACTGTTGGGGCAAATGCTGTAAGCGAGTAGCACCTACGAAGGACGGCGCGGCACATGAGGGGGTGGGTGGCACAGCAACCACGCCCGGCCGCCTTTGTCTTCCCAGTGGCGATGTTTACTACACAGCGCACCAGGTACTAATTTGAGATCGGGTCGACCTAGGGGAGGCCCAGGAACAATTCATATAATCGTCACCGGTGTTGATGGCCGTAAGCGGGAATCGAACTCGGACGGCCGGGTTCGTAGCGCAGCGTAGCGCTAACCGTTGCACCACCGCTCCCCCGCCGCCCCCCACCCCCCACCTTCTCCTGCTCCGGATAATTAGACGCGCCCAATCTTGTGCCCGTGTAATTAATGTTACAGAGATGCGGCAACGACACGAATGGAACGCACTGCCACGTGTCGCTTTACATTACAGCGCGTGGGCTCAAGTGCGTCTTCTAATCTGGCATTGTTGTCACGTGGCACCAGGGCGTGTCCCGGTGTCTTCTTGGGCCCGGGCAGGAGACCCGCGCCGGAGTCTGAAGAGAGCTTCAGGCGGGTCCCTGCGTTGGGATGTTTGGCCAAACTCGTTGCGTGAGCGTGCAAATGAATATCCGCTCTCATGCGACGGGGTAACACCTAAAACCTCCGCATTTAAGAATCTCTCGATGTGCTGCCATCTCCTGGTCAGCACGCAGCGCCAATACTACAACATCTGGCATTCCCAGGCGCAAAACCAGGCTCATCTCCTCTGAGCTTCTGAGAGCTTCGGGGTGATTTGGTCGTCGTGAGTCCACGTAGTCCCGGTCCGTCTGTCGTGCCACGTGTCTTTGTCTCTCCCTGGCCCCCCGTGCAGACGTGGACGAGTGTACTGCTGAGCGGCACAACTGCTCGGGCTCTGCACGTTGCGTGAACCTGCGGGGGGGATTCCGCTGCGTGAACCCCGAGTGTCCGAAGTCGAACGGAGACGTGAGCTACGTGAAGACATCCCCACTGTGAGTGCAGCGCAGTCGCTTGGTCAGTCGTTCTCATGGTCTGTCTGATGGTCGGTCTGATGGTCTGGTGGTCGGTCTGTTAGTCGGTCTGATGGTCGGTCTGATGGTCTGGTGGTCGATCTGATGGTCTGATGGTCGGTCTGATGGTCGGTCTGATGATCAGATCGTCTGATAGTCGGTCTGATGGTCTGATGGTCGGTCTGATGGTCGGTCTGATGATCTGATCGTCTGATGGTCGGTCTGATGGTCTGATCGTCTGATAGTCGGTCTGATGGTCTGATGGTCTGATCGTCTAATAGTCGGTCTGATGGTCTGGTGGTCGGTCGGTCAGCCTCATGGTCCGTCAGTCAGTCGGATGATTTTTTTCTGATGGTTGGTCAGTCAGTCTTTAGATTGGTCTGATGGTCTGATGGTCTGATGGTCGGTCTGATGGTCTGATGGTCTGATCGTCGGTCTGATGGGTAGTTAGTTGGTTTGTCAGTGAGTCAGTCATTCGGCGAGTTAGTCAAATTTGGCAGCCGGTCGGTCAATCGTTGCCCTGTGAGTGTTATGCAGAGGGTTGGTTAGTTGGTCATTCAGTGAAGCAGTTGGTCGCTCGTCTCGACGGTGAGCGCGTCGAAGTCTCTCCATCCATCAGTCAGGCAGTCTCGTGGAGAACACAGACACATTTACTGTACGTACAAAGGAAAACATCCCCCATGTAGCCCTTAACCAACTGTTGGGGGATGTGCTATGAGTGAGCACCCATGAAGGCCGGCACGGTGGCTAGCACCACACGCGGCCGCCTTTGTCTCCCGTGTGATGATATTTATACACAATGCACCAAGTACTAAGTTTAGCCCCAGTCAAACCTAGGGAGAGGTCTAGGACCTGGACAGATAATCGGAATAATGACCTCTGATGTTGACCTTCACCGGGGAAGGGAGTTATTGAATTCACGCTCCCTACGTACACACACCGCACACACAAATACACGGCGGACACACGCACGCGCCAGTGGAGTGCGTCAGGCCTCGTAGTTGTTGCGTTTCTGAATTGTTGTTGTTGTTGTTGTTCTTGGGGTGTTTTTTGTTTTGTTTTACGGCAGTGTTTGTCTTAGCTGCAACAGCTTCAGGAGTGAGTGCGGTTTGCCGTGTACCGACTCACACGATGCTTCGTACGCACAAAAAAAACAAAGACAAAGATCCCTCGTATAGCCTTAACAGACTGTAGGGGCAAGTGCTGTTAGCAAGCACCTATGAAGGCCGGAACGGTACACGAGGGGACGCACACACACACACGCGCGCGCACACACACGCGCGCGCACACACTCACACGCGCATATATACACACACACGCGCGCGCACATACACACACGCGCGTGCGCATATACACACACACGCACGCGCGTGCACACACACACACGCGCGCGCACACACACACGCGCGCGCGCACACAACATTAAAGGAATTCTCGCCCCAGCTATGATAAAGCGTGGGCGCGCGTGTTGGCAGAACGAAATCGCATTGCCCGTAAAATAAGAATTGACTCAGTTGTTTATCCGGGAAGGCCACACTTGAGCTGTGGGGGGAAAAACAAAAAAAATGACCGAGGTTCCTGCAATTGGGTTTTTTTGTTTATTTGCAAGATGTGTCCAGCCAATTAATGAGTTGTTTGCACAAGTGGGAGGAAACCCGAGAAAGCCCACGCGTGCGATGGGAGACAACTGACATCCCCCGTACGGATAGAAACAGATGGCGTTTAGCCCACTTGCTGCACCGCGTTCCCCGAGCGAGATGGGGTATACTGTATGGCACCTCCTCGACATCCGCGGGACACGTGTGTGGCCAACCGTGCTAATCGAAGGTGTGCTGCGGACGGACAACGATCTGAGCACAAAAAGCAGTCGTAAAGAAATTAGTTTTCGACGTAGAAAATACGTTTTGAAGTTAGAAGGGAGTTTCACAACATTTGTGCCGTGATCAACTAACTGGTATACAGGAGGTCGTGGGGGTTCGTTCCCGACCCGGACGATGTCTGTATGTTTGGAGTTTGCATGTTCTGCCCCGTGGTGGTGTAGATCTTTTTCCGAGTCCTCCGGTGTTTCCCTGCACCTTTAGAATAAACATCACGCGTTTAGAGTATTTTGGTTGCGAGAAAATTCAACGCGATGAGCCACTTCATTGAGCTATCAATTGTGGCCTAGTCGCTGCTGGGAAAAAGAGCCATATAGCTCAGTGGGCCGTACCTTTTAAAAATAAAAACAATTGCTTATAGTTTAAATAGCTTAGTTTACGTACAGGATAGCCACATTATAAGAGCGGCTCTGGATTGACGATGACTGGGACGGACAAAGCAAACAAAAGCGCGCGTCGCTGGGAAACAAGACGAGAGTTTTGAGCGGCGATAGTGCCGCATGCTTGTTCGTTTTCGTCTTCTGCCTCTTCTTAAAATCACGCTCGCGGAAAACGACGACGTCGCCGTCTCTCCGATTTGAGAGTCCACCGAGAGAGAGAGAGAGGCACCCCGGCGCGCGCATCGTACGCAGAGACTTGCCGCAACGCGCGGGATCGAGACACGAGGAAGCGCTCATTGCCTCTCTTTCAAACCCCCCCCACCCCCAACATACTCTTCATGCTGTGAAGAGTAAGTGAAGTCTGGCAAACACTGGAGGCCAGATTGTGAGCTCATCCCTGGGTCCCTGCGGAGCAATGTCGGTGACTTATGGCTCGTCCCAGGCCTGCACAGCGAAGGACATGTGTGACGCCAGTGCCTCTACTACGTGCTCGTAGCCAAGAGGAGCGGGATGGGTTTACAATGAGCGCGGTGCCTCTCTCTCTCTCTCCTCTCTCGCTCCGCGTGCTCGACTTTAGTTGCGCGCGCGTGGGTAGGTCGACTCATCGTTAAATTGGTACCCGGTGTGGTGTGCGTAAACGTTAGCTTTGGGGAGACAAAGGCGTCTGGGCGTGTTGCTGGCCCCCTAACAACCCCTCCCCCCCCCCAGCCGCGCTCCTTCGTGTGCCCTTCCGGCCTTCATCATAGCTGCTCGCTAACAGCACTTGCCCCCAGCAGTCTGTTAAAGGCTTGCACGGGCGATTTTTGTCTTTGTCGTACGTGACGCTGCGACTGTTTACTGCGACCACGTGCTGCGACCACGTGCTGCGGCCACGTCATGCGACCACGTGCTGCGACCACGTGCTGCGGCTCTATTGTGACGCTGCACGCGGCTCTTTCGAGGCGCAAGGGACTTGCGAGCGGTAGTTAAGTGCTCGCTAACAGCACTTGCCCCCACCAGACTGTTGACGATATACGGTGGGGGGTAGACCTTTGTATCTGTATGTATGCAACGCACGTGTGCGTATGCCGTATTGTGTGTTTCTCCCTGTGTGCTTGTGTGCAAATGTGCCCTGTGTATTGTGTTTTCCGCGCGTGCGTGTGTGCGTGTGTGTGCGTTCTGTCTGCGTGTATGTATGCCTTTTTGGAAGGAAGCTATTTCCTTCTTTAATCGAACTGCTAATAGCAACCAAAAGATCTCGGACCGACCAAATGCCCCACACCTCCTCCCCACCCCTTTGCGACATAACGTGTGTTCTTACATCAGTACGTATTCGTGAGTGCGTGGATGCACGTGCGCTGCTATTGTGTTCGTGCGCTCTGCCCCGCGTGAATCTGTTCGCCTTGTGCGCTTACGCACGTGTCTATGACGACTACCGTGAACCGGTCCTGGGCCTCCCCTAGGGCGACTGAGCCTCAAATGAGTACCTGGTATGGGGTGTAAACATCGCCACTGGGGAGACAAAGGCGGCCGGGCGTGGTGCTGGTCACCCATCCCCCTCGTTAAGGCTATACGGGGGGTTTATTTGTGCTTGTGTATCTCTACGTGTGCTCACGTGTTTGTGCATTCGTACACAAACTATGCCCCCCTCCCCACCATCTCCCTACCCCCCCCACCTCCTCAAACCCAACCCACCCCCCCCACACGTGGCGCAGTCACTGCGAGCGCAACCCGTGCCCGATGGACAGCCGCAGCTGCCACCAGGCACCCAAGACCATCTCGCACCACTTCCTGGCCCTGCCCAGCAACCTCAGCACCCCGGCCACGCTCTTCCGCATGGGCTCCGCAGCGCCCCTCGGCAGCCGCGCCGCCAGCGACAGCCTTCGCTTCGGCATCGTCGGCGGCGCCGGCGGGCACCGAGGCCACTTCATGGTGCAGCGCTCGGACCGGCAGACGGGGGTCCTCATCCTCATGAGTCCCCTGCGCGGACCCCGATCCCTCGAGCTGGAGCTGGAGATGGCGGAGTTCGCCGATAAATCCCTGCTCGCCAAGCACGTGTCCCACGTCACCGTGCTCGTGTCGGCTTACGACTTTTAGCTCCCGCCGCACCTCCGCCCCCCCCCCCCCACCTACCCCCCACCGCTTTGCTGCGATATTTGTTGCTGCCGTTGTTGATGTTTTTTGCTGTTGTTGTTGTTGTTGTTGTTTTATAGCAGCGCGGCTCCGGTTTTGTACGATGCCCCTCTGTCCGAGTTCTGACTTCCCTCCCTCCCTCCCCCACCCACCAACCGTACAACCGAGACTCGCCGAGGGGGCCGCGAAGGGCGTGGGAGGCCCCGCGCGGCTCGAGAGGCGTCGCGGTGTGGGGGGGAGTGGGGGGGGCGGGTGTCCCCGCTGCAGAATTCGAGCCGCCCCGTCGACGTGGCACACGCCAATGAGCGTGTTGAGACAGCACGTGGAGATGACGCAGCGAGAGCGTTGCCCGCGCGGCGTACCGTCCGATGTCGTGCACGATGAACGGGTTCAACTTTAGCCCCCGAGTCGGATGTCTTTTTGAGACCCGCGTATCACGGTTTGGTTCCAGCTGGGCACGGCAACAGGGCCAATGGAAGACCGCCGGCACCGCTGGCGCGGCTCGGTTGAGCCAGTGGGAAAGGGCTGAGATCGTTGTGCTGTGTTTCCGTGGGACAGCCAATCTGGGGTCGACTCAAGTCGGCCTGAGTTGGCCTCATTTACGTCCCAGATTTCCAGCGGAGTGACAACTCGCATTGACTGAAAATGTAGCAATTCCACAATTTCTCCGAGTTGCTAGAGTTATCACGTGAGTTGGGCTGGTCTCTCTCTCCAAATACAATTTTTTAAAACACACCCGCGAGTCAGTGGCCAAGACCACATTGCTGACAACATTCAATGTCAAGTTTAAATATAAAATTTAATAATTTATCCGACTCCAAAGTCTTTTTTTTTAAACATAGATGGTGACGCATTGACTCCCGGCAGCCCGAACTCTTACGGAGGGAATTTAAGCCAGCCCGTGGAGTGAGTTGGGCCCCTATAAAATGCGGACCGCAGCCCAAATTTGCAGACAATTCGAGTTGACAAGATACATTACGTACAGAAACAAACGGCTGCGATGGAAACTCGAGTTCAAACCCGATGCACGTGGCACGTGAAAACTACATGTATGTATTTGGGCAGGGTCGGTGGGGTAATGCCGACCGGAGGAACACCCTCCAGCCAAGTTCACGAACCGAGCCAGCACGCTTTGGAGTTGAAGTGGGAAGACATGTTTAGCAGTGTCGGGTGACGCGTGTAAGTGGATTAATTGAACACCACGCGTTAAACGACCACCACGCGCACGCGTAACCCGAGACTGGAATGTAGTGGACGCACGAGCCGTGAACACTGTCAGTGAGAGGAGCTGGGGAAGAGCGGAATGGGAATTATCCGACTCCGGTCCACTACAGTCCGCCTTTCTATCTTCACCAATGTTCTCGAACATTAATTCAGTCTTACACGCTACCCACGCCCGATGGTTATTCAACACGCCCCCACGTGACGTACAGAGTGCCGGTTCAGTTGAAGATTGAGATCGTGTGTGTGTGTGTTTTGTCGACGTGACGCAGAAGCGAATCGAAGGCATATTATATGAGCTTGTTGACCAATCATCAGGCGCGTGTAGCGAGTGACGACTTCATTTGTAATTCAAAATAAACAAGCAAGACAACAAGCTGCGAGTGTCTGATTATTGGTCAACAAGTTTGTATATCTCTCTTCGAACCACCTCTCTGCAGGGCAGAGAGGAGGTAGAAGCTTCAAGCAGCCACGACAAACTCTGTATACTCGCTTATTGCAAGACGGCATCGGTAGTGAAACTTCACGGCTCTGCATCCATTGCCTTCCACTCGACTCTTCACGCCCGCCACGATCGACGTTGCACGCGTGTATGCACGTGGAACTTCTTTCGCACCGTACGTAGCCAAACCGTGCTCATCGAAGGTGCGGGGGCAGGACAACAAACTAAGCACAAAAAGCAGTTTTATATGTGTGTATGTATATATATGTTGAACTGCTTTCGCGCAAGAAGTTCAACATACGTACTTTGGCGCAATAATCGCTGTCAAATCATCATCATCATCCTTTCTCCTGAATCCCTTCATTAGCTGGGATCGGCAAAAACAGAGGCCAATACATTATGCGAGGTTTTAGGATTTCCTGAGACGCTCACAGCACCTGCGCCGTGAGACACAGCGACGATTCAACCTGAGCTGGGCCACCGGATTATTATTATTAAAGTCATCAATCGCTCCGTGTAACGACAATGACTTTAGATTGTAACGCGCCGCACGGCATCCTCTCACTCTGGGAGAGAGGACGACTCGAAAGGCGCGAGGAGGAGGAGGAGGAGCAGCCACCAATCTCCCCAAGTCCTGCCATCCTCTCTATATTATTCAAGTGTTGTCGGTCGATGAATGCGTGTTTACATGATAGAGTACCCAATTAGTCTACGGTTAGATTACGCGACTGATGGGAATACACGATAGCAGTTGTAAAGAGAGAGAGAGAGAGAAACAACAACGTGTCACCTCTGTTCCCACGTGTGCCGCTGGACGGGAGGTGATGGGTGGGGTTTTGTGATGGCATCGGCACCATCGGCTGCGTCACGCTGGCTGTGGCTTGTAGGGGGGTTTACCGCCTTCGCGAGGCAGAATGTTGGAGGGGGTGGGAGGGGGGGACTGCTGTTCTAAATTAGTCCGAGTAATCGACCGCAGGAAAGTTTTGTCGATTAATCGACGAATAGTCCCAGTTCCATATTAAGCCCTCAAACCCAACCTCCACCCCCAACGATTCGAATAATATTCACGATCCGGGTCGCGATTCAAGTCCCCAGTGTTTGCTGTTGTTGTTGTCTCGTTTTGCGATCTCGTTTGTATCGTTTCGCGGTCACGTCTCACTTGTACAGTTTCGTTCGTCCCATGAAGCACCGAACGTCACGTCAGCTGTAATAATTACAATCAATTGGCACGGAAACAGCAAATAATCCATCCTTTCTCGCACACTTTGACGCGTAAAATAATCGCCTATTTTCTTCATTTGATTCATCGATACGTCGTCACACGTCTGCTTGCAAATTCGTCGGCACCCGAAGCCGGTCCGCAACGACGCTCGCAGGGCCGAGGGACTACGACGGACGGATGGAGGAATCGAGAACCTACAATGTGTACGGTCGAGGCTTGTTGAGGCTGGGAGGAAGACGGGAGGCCGTAACCACCCACTGCGGCCGTCGTGACCTCGCTGCGTTCCAACTCGAATTGTAAAGCCACAACGACATCGACGTCCGTTCCTTAAAGGTTAAAGACGTTCCTTGTGGCTGTTCGGGAGTTGGACTTTGTATCGAGACAGTTATGGGTAAGGAAAGACGGATGCTTCTCCAACCGAAGTCATTTAATCTCCGGGTAGTTTTTGTGTGTATCATTAAACGTCTCAGGAGATTCAATGTGCTATATGGTTGTAGAAGCGTCTGCCTTCTTGGTGAGATCTTCCCCTCCCCATAACAGTCCAGATGTTGAAGATAAGAGGGTGCAGTCCCATTGCTAGCGGAAGGACCCCGAGTAAAAGCGTTGCAGGTGCCACGTGGATCGTCACATCGCAGACCTGTGCAAGTCGTCGACGACTTGGCGAGGCCTCCATCCAGCAGTGGATTCATCGTGGATGACGATTGATGATGATTCGGAACGGGAGAGGGATGTTTGGTCGCTTGGTGTTTTTTTTTTGGCGGTGGGATGACACCTTGGAGTCCGACTCAAGACGCTGGCACGTGACTGCTGCCGCGCCCGTCGCGTTTCCCGTGACGCTCGCCTGCAACCGAACCGTCCTGAACGCGCCCCGAACTCGTCGGCTCTCGGAAGCTAAAGCAGCGTTGAGTCCGCTTCATATTTTAGGCGATCGGCCAGTTGTGTTGGGAGGCTGCGAGCGATGTGTGGCGAGGAGGTGGCAGGGCTGAGTGTCACCCACTTGGTATGCGTGGTGGGGTTTTTTTTCTCCGGGGTTGCTGGCTTCCTCCTGCCCCAATCGCCCTCCGCCACGTAAAGCCTAAGACGCCTTAGTAGAATGGGCCAAAAGTCCCAGTTTGGCACCCACCCTCAATGAAACTGAAGGCTCGGAGAGGCATCGACGGTTAAATCTTTGGCACTGCGATTCGTGAGTTGTCGCTTTGTCACGGGCTATGCCCAAGGCCACACGGCGTTTTTCACCTTCTGCTGTCCCACCGCCGTGCAAAGAAAATAAAAAAAAATATTTTAAAAAAACCAGTTGGCAAGGCGATCCTTTGAGTGAGTGTCTGTGTATTGTTCTGGGGATTCGATCGAACGTCGCAATTTTTTTGTTGCGCACGGGGACACACGATTGATCCCGTGCAAGGAACAATTTCCTCGGCTCTGCAGGAAAGAAAACCCGCCTCGTTCTGGCGTCGCGTTATTATTGGTCAGTGGGCTCGAGCTGACATGGGCCGCACCTGACGTGAAAAAATAAACTTTGGTGGGACGAACGTACTCGCAAAGGTTTCAGGTGCAGCCCTTGCAATTTCTTGCGCACGCCACTGCTGGCGACAGGACCTAAGAAGGGATCTCTAGAGAACCCCCCCCCCTCCCCATAAGGAGGTGTTTTTGGCCTACTCTTGCACGCTGGCCAGACGTCTTTGAAGAGGTGGCAGTACCCACACTTCACCTCACCACACTCGACCTGCCGATGTATTGAGTTTCGGTGTACCCATTTCTGCTGCTGGGTGGGCAGAGGCGCTGGGGGAGTAGGAGGGTGGGGGGGGGGGTGGAAATTAAGAAATGTGCATATCGTGAACAATTGCTGCAACTTTCTTCCTGCAGCTCATCTTGAGCTGTGCCCTCCTTTTTGTCCGTCTTGAGGAATTCCGTACCTAGATGTTATCTACCTCGCCTGGTATACAGGAGGCCGTGGGTTCCATTCCGACCCTGACGCCTGCTGTATATTTGGAGTGTGCGTGTCTCTCTCCTCGTGGTCGCGTGGATGTTCTCCTGGCACTCTGTTTTTTCCCTCCACATTTTGAATCAACATCCACGCGTTTAGAGAATTTGGCTGCTACACATGTCCACGTGATGAGCCACTTCGTTGGGCTATCATGTGTAGCCATGCCGCTTCTGAAAACGAGCTATACAGCTCAGTGGGGGCCTTACCTGGTTAAAACAAAAGCTTAATAAATTAGTTTTGGTTCCTTTAACTTTTCCCCACTCATTAACGTCATCGACTCTACTCCCCTTCCCGTGTTGCGCCACGGCAAAAAAAGGGTGCATTATTAAATTTCGAGGTTGCTTTCATTTACAAATTTGGGGGTCAAAGGTGTTTCATGCAATGGGCGACGTCGCACGCGCAACTGACCGAGTCGAGGCATCACGTGGAGATGACGCGGGGTCAGCGTTGCCCGTGCGGCGTGCTCGCCGATGTCGTGCACGAAGAACGCGTCGTTAGCCCTAGCCCGACTTCAGCCCCCGAGTCGGATGTTTTTTTTTTTGAGACCGGCGTATCGCGGTTCGGTTCCAGCTCGGCACGGCAACACGGCCAATGGAAAACCATCCGCACCAAAATATTTTTTGTGTTTTCATCAGCAAGGTGACATTACATATCATAGGCCTCTGAGGTCGAACGTTATTCATCACCGCTTCTTTCTTTCTTCCATCTGCCGTGCTTGCTAAAATGAATAAAATTCATTCACTCTCCTTCATCGGTCCACTGCTGGCTGAATCCCTTTCCCGCGCCATACGTCACCATCGCCGGTCAGGTGCAGCGGCTGTGGTGACGGATGAAGGCAGCTGCACTCAAAGGTCCGCACAGATTGATTAATGGGCGTGAATGACGAACTGAACTCCTGCGAGGCGACGATATTTTGACGATTCCTCGTGTTGTTGTTCTTCATCTCCTCCTCGAGTCTCCGGGCGCTCGCTCGGCGCTGCTTCCTACGGGAACAATTTTGGACCGAAGCTATAAACGCAGGCAGCTCGGGACCAGCTTTAACTGCTGGGATTTATGGGGTCCAGATGTCCGATTCTAGGGCTTTAACCTTGACTGGGGCAGGTGCTAACGCACACGCGTTCTCACCCACACACACGCTCACTCACACTCTCACGGACTCACACGCACGTACGTACACAGACACGCTCACTCACTCACACAACAACAACCGCCATTCGCCACTAAGTGGCGGTGACGTCACCTCGACGCTTGTGCCAGGCCATGTGCACCTTGAGGCTACGCGAAGTGTCGAACGCCCGCTGGCAGGAGGTCCAAGTGCCACGGGTCGACTAACTAAGATGACTGAGATGACTGGCTGATGCACCACCTGTGTCCCCTACTGTGCCAACCTGCTGTGCTTTAGCCACCTGGCGCTCCGCTCGTTGTTGTGAGCGTCGCTCCTCCACCCTCCGTTGTTGTTGGAGGGTGACTGCCTCCAACTGCCCAGTAGCGTCCTTCATGAGCCTCCTACACAGAGGCCGATCTTGGCAACGCTGGTACCAGTCATCGGCAAGTCCACTCAGCTCCACGTCCTCCTGTACCACATCACTCCATCTCTTCTCTAGCCCGTGCCGCGCCCGTTTAGCCCCCTCGATTCGGCCGAACAAAAGCTGTTTCGGCATGCGGTGGCTGGGCATGCGGGCTACATGACCCAGCCAACGCAGCCTTGCCTGCCGGAGGAGCTCACCGATGGGACCGTGCCCAGATCTTTCAAGGATTTGTGAGCTCCTCACACAATTCAGCCTGGTTAAACCCAGGATGGATCGTAGGCAGGCCAGCCTAAATGTTTCTAACCGGCGAAGATGTTCCATTAGGGAGTCCACGTTTCGCAAGCGTAGAGAAGGGAGGGAATTACCGTGGCCGAGAAGACCTGAAGCTTAGTGCGGAGCGACAGACCAGGTAGCTTCCACACAGCGTTATGCAACCGATGAAAAGATATTGCCGCTCGACTGATTCGGAGAGAGACCTCTGCTGTTAAACTGGAGCCGGTCATGAGCACACTGCCCAGGTATGGGAAACTCTCCACTGTCTCCACAACTGCCCCATCACCGATTGGGAGTTGTGGGGGTGGAGTGTCCGATGGTACAAAATACCCAGGCAGGTGCTTAGTATTGGTGGGGCTGATGGTAAGGCCCCATCTCTTCGTGGCACGCTCCAGTCTCAGCAGCAACGTCTCCAACTCCTCCTCTGAATGAGCAGCTATTACCAAATCCTCGGCATACATAACGTGGTTGAGCAATAGGGAGCCATCCCTTGACCGCACCTGGGCATCGATCAGCCTCCCATTATATCTGTACAAAATGAAGATTCCCCCGGTACAGCTATTGAAGGCTTCACGAACTACGTGGTCAAAATAGATGTTAAATAATGTGGGAGCCAGAGGACATCCCTGTCGCACCCCAAGGTGTACAGGGAATGGCTCTGACTCACGGCCACGTAGTTTTACCCAGGCCCGCTCACCATCATGAAGGTCCTTAATGATCGTGAGCAGAGGGTCAGGGACTCCAAAAGCACGAAGAACAACCCAGAGCCCAGGCCTACTGATGGTATCATAGGCCTTGACCAGGTCAATAAAGCAGAGATGTAGGTCTTGTTGGAATTCCCTACACCTCTGCTGTAGCAGACGGACAGAAAATATGGCATCTGTGCAGGACCGCCCTTTCCTGAAATCGCATTGGGGCTCTGCAAGCCTCTCTTCTGCGTGCCTGGCAAGACGATGTTGAATAATCCTTGCCAGGACCTTTTCCCGGCACACTGAGGCGTGAGATGCCCCTGTAGTTGTTACAGTCTGTGCGGTCCCCCTTCCTAAAGAGGGGGGCCACCAGGGCATCCTTCCAATCCTTTGGAACCTGTGCAGTGGTCCAGACTGTTGTTATGATGTCATATAGGGCAGTCTGTGCACAAACGCCACCCTCCCTCAGCATTTCGCTTGGGAGATCATATCTACCCAGTGCCTTTCCTGGTCTCAGACTCCGAATCGCCTTCAGTACTTCCTCAACAGATGGCACCTCAGCCAGCCACTCACAGGGGGTGACTTTTTCCAATATTTGCGGCACTGCAGCCTCAGCAGGGGCATCTCCACTTTGTGCCACAATGTTTTCTTGGCTGAGGGATTTCTCCTCCCCCAGGACCTCACAGAAATGCTCAGCAAATCTTCAAACCTGTTCCTGGAGGTCGGAGATTGGATCACTTTTTTTTTTTCTCTAATGATGGCAATAGGTGTGGTGCTGCAGGTTACTTTTTTGATGGAGTTAAATAGAGATTGGTGATCGCGGGCCACTGAGGCAGACTCCATCTCCTCAGCAACCCGCGACCACCACCCATCCTTGCAGCGCCTCACGGCTCTCCGAACCTTCGAGCGAAGGCTGCGGTAAGCCTCCTCATTCTCTGACGTGGGATTCTGTAGCCAATGACAGTGGGCCTGTCGCTTTTTCTCAACCATCCTGAACACCTCCTCTGTCAGCCAGGGTCTATGGGGAGGTCTGGACCGTGTACCCAAAGCAGCCATTGCAGCTGCATGAGTCACAGTCCTAAACCTCGCCCATTTATCCTCGACATCAGGAGGAGTGGGGGACGATGCCAACCCCAGCCGCAAGCGATGATGAAATTCTCGCTTGCAACTTTCATCAGATAACTGAAACCAGGCCACTTCAGGTTGGAATTGGGTCCTGGGTGTACACCCACCACCGGAGTGGAAGAATGGCAGGCGCATCCTACAGATGACTAGTCGATGGTCAGAGGGCAGATCAGCTCCACGGTAGGTCCTGGTGTCAAGGACATGGGCTCGCATCCGCTGGTCCGTCACTATGTAGTCCAGCAGATGTTCTTGCTTGGACACGGCATGCATCCATGATGTTGTGTGGATGCGCCGATGCCAAAACACGTGTTGGTAATTACAAGCCCATGGGCTTCACAAAAATTTAGCAGCCTCCTATCGTTGTTATTGAGCTGATCTGACCCATGCCCTCCAATCACTCCAGACCAGGTACCAGCATCATGACCAACTCGGGCATTGAAGTCACCCAACAAGATGACTCTATCCCGAGGGGCCACTTTAGCCAGCACCTGTGACAGGAGGTCATAGAAGGCATCTGACTCATCGGCTTTGCCTGCATCCCTCCACGGATGTTCGTCTTCGGTGGGGGGCATACGTAACCACGACCACCACTCCTCGCCTCCGGTTGATGGGAAGTCGAGTCCAAAGTAGCGTGGGGCTTACAGCTTCCCACACCTCACCGCCACGCTCCCACGCCTCCTTCATTATTTT